TGCTATCATTCCCTTCATTTCTTTTTCATTTATTTCTGATCTGATGTTTATGATTTCTTTCCTTCTGCTAACTTTGGGGGGTTTTTTGTTCTTCTTTCTCTAATTGCTTGAGGTGCAAGGTTAGGTTATTTATCTGAGATATTTCCAGTTTCTTAAGGTAGGATTGTATTGCTATAAACTTCCCTCTTAGAACTACTTTTGCTGCATCCCGTCAGTTTGGGGTTTTGGTGTTTTCATTGTCATCTGTTTATAGGTATTTTTTTATTTCCTCTTTGATTTCTTCAGTGATCTCTTGGTTATTTAGTAGTGTATTGTTTAGCCTCTGTGTGTTTGTATTTTTTACAGATTTTTTACAGATTTTTTTCCTGTAATTGATATCTAGTCTCATAGCGTTGTAGTCAGAAAGCATACTTGATATGATTTCAACTTTCTTAAATTTACCAAGGCTTGATTTGTTACCCAAGATATGATCTATCCTGGAGGATGTTCCTTGAGCACATGAGAAGAAAGTGTATTCTGTTGTTTTTGGATGGAATGTCCTGTAAGTATCAATTAAATCCATCTTGTTTAATGTATCATTTAAAGCTTTTGTTTACTGTTTATTTTCGTTTTGGATGATCTGTCCATTGGTGAAAGTGGGGTGTTAAAGTCCCCTACTATTATTGTGTACTGCCGATTTCCCCTTGTATGGCTGTTAGTATTTGCCTTATGTATTGAGGTGCTCCTGTGTTGGGTGCATAAATATTTATAATTGTTATATCTTCTTCTTGGATTGATCCTTTTATTATTATGTAGTGTTCTCCTTGTCTCTTGTAACACTGTACTTGTATTTTAAAGTCTGTTTTATCTGATATGAGTATTGCTACTCTAGCTTTCTTTTGATTTCCATCTGCATGGAATATCTTTTTCCATCCCCTCACTTTCAGTATGTATGAGTCCCTAGGTCTGAAGTGGGTCTCTTGTAGACAGCATATATATGCATCTTGTTTTTGTATCCATTCAGCAAGCCTGTGTCTTTTGTTTGGAGCATTTAATCCATTCATGTTTAAGGTAATTATTTATATGTATGTTCCTATGACCATTTTCTTAATCATTTTGGGTTTGTTTTTGTAGGTCTTTTCCTTCTCTTGTGTTTCCTGCCTCCGGAAGTTCCTTTAGCATTTGTTGTAGAGCTGGTTTGGTGGTGCTGAATTCTCTTAGCTTTTGCTTGTCTGTAAAGGTTTTAATTTCTCTGTCAAATCTGAATGAGATCCTTGCCGGGTAGAGTAATCTTGGTTGTAGGTTCTTCCCTTTCATCACTTTATGTATATCATGCCACTCCCTTCTGGCTTGTAGAGTTTCTGCTGAGAAATCAGCTGTTAACCTTATGGGAGTTCCCTTGTATGTTATTTGTTGTTTTCCTGTTGCTGCTTTCAATAATTTTTCTTTGTCTTTAATTTTTGCCAGTGTGATTACTATGTGTCTTGGCGTGTTTCTCCTTGGGTTTATCCTGTATGGGACTCTCTGTGCTTCCTGGACTTGGGTGGCTATTTCCTTTCCCATCTTAGGGAAGTTTTCACCGATAATATCTTCAAATATTTTCTCTGGTCCTTTTTCTCTCTCTTCTCCTTCTGGGACCCCTATAAAGCGAATGTTGTTGCGTTTAATGTTGTCCCAGAGGTCTCTTAGGCTGTCTTCATTTCTTTTCATTCTTTGTTCTTTATTCTCTTCTGCAGCAGTGAATTACACCATTCTGTCTTCCAGGTCACTTATCCGTTCTTCTGCCGCAGTTATTCTGTTATTGATTCCTGCCAGAGAATTTTTAATTTCATTTATTGTCTTGTTTATCATTGTTTGTTTGCTCTTTAGTTCTTCTAGATCCTTGTTAAACATTTCTTGTATTTTCTCCATTCTAGTTCCAAGATTTTGGATCATCCTTGCTGTCGTTACTCTGAATTCTTTTGCAGTTAGACTGCCTATTTCCTCTTCATTTGTTTGGTCTGGTGGGTTTTTACCTTGCTCCTTCATCTGCTGTGTATTTCTCTGTTTTCTCATTTTTCTTAACTTACTGTGCCTGGGGTCTTCTTTTTGAAACCCGCAGGTTCGTAGTTCCCATTGTTTTTGTTTCCTGCCCCCAGTGGCTAAGTTTGGTTCAGTGGGTTGTGTAGGCTTCCTGGTGGAGGGGACTGGAGCCTGTGGTTTGGTGGATGAGGCTGGATCTTGGCTTTCTGGTGGGCAGGTCTACATCTGGTGGTGTATTTTGGGGTGTCTGTGGCCTTATTATGATTTTAGGCAGCCTCTCTGCTAATGGATGTGGTTGTGTTCTTGTCTTGCTAGTTGTTTGGCATAGGGTGTCCAGCACTGTAGCTTGCTGGTCGTTGAGTGGAGCTGGGTCTTAGCGTTGAGATGGAGATCTCTGGGAAAACTTTCACCGTTTGATATTACGTGGGGCTGGGAGGTCTCCGGTTGACCAATGTCCTCAATTCGGCTCTCCCACCTCAGAAACTCAGGCCTGACAACTGGCTGGAGTACCAAGACCGTGTCAGCCACATGGCCAAAGTTCAACCAAAGTTGTGATACTTGTTTCCCTTGTAGGAGTCCACATGATATTAAGAGGCACCGTGGGAGGAGTATATTAATAGCTACCATGTCTTGGGTCTTGGCGATTACCCTTTTTCCCTTAACAACATCACCTCCCGGCAGGTCCTGAGGAGACCAGGCTCCTGTGAGAGAGAACTGGACCCCACAGTTTCCCAAAGCTGAAGCCCCAGTGGGTCCTGAGGAGACCCAACTTCCGTTAGTGTGGACTCGACCGCGGGTTGTCCTGAAGCCCAGGCCGTCAGCGTGGACTCAGCCCTGCGTGTCCCAGAAGCCAAAGAACCAGCGGGTCCTGAGGAGATGGGCCTCCTGGCAGCTGTCCACAAAGCCCCTATTCTTAAATTAAGCAATTTCAAGGTTCTGAGCAATGAACCTGGCAGGAGAGACATAAAGATGGTAAAGATGCGATCCCTTCCCTCAGGCAGCTCACTGATTATTAAGAAAAATAGGCATCCATACAAAAATCTGAAAGTGGTCCATCAGGGGCTCCTGTTCCATTTATCTGGGAGTGTTGGTTGTCTATGGTTGGCATGATTTTTGATAGTTCCATGCCTGTGTCTGGTTGCTAATATAGTTATTATCAGTTCTGGAAGATATGATGCATTTACTGAGATGCTACCACATTCCAGACACTGTGGTAGGCATCGCGATACAGTGGTGAGCCGAAGACGCAGTGCCTGCCCTGAAGGAATTTACCATCAAGTTACTAGATTCTAGTGTTTGAATAAGATATTTTAGGAAGCATAACAAATGTAGGCAGTCTTTCTCCCTAGAGGGAGAGGGATTTACACTTATGATTAATCTCAGTGAGTGACGGGAAACAAGGAAACAAGTGGATTTCTATGCAAAGGAAATAGCTCCTATGCTTATATTAACGTGATGAAGAGCTCTCACTTTGGCATCACTGCAGTGATGCAGCCCTGCCAGCCCGTGGGCTGGGTAGGAGAGAGCAGCAAGGAGGTATGAATGTAGGGACGCACTGTGAAGGCCTCAGATGCCAGGCTAATCAGTGTGGACCACATCCTGTGGCCAGTTGCTCTATAACAGCTCAGGGGGTTCCACCGCGGAGTTAGATGGGAAGATGTGCCTACACCTCCCTCATCTCACAAGCAAACAGACAATAGAAGAGATCAGGGGTAAGAGGTGAAAATGCTAAGGACATAGAGTACAGAGGACTGCATGCTGTTTAGTTGCTGTAAAGGAGGAAGACAGAAGACTAGAAGTTGACATCTAGGTTTCTGCCCAGTTTAAATGGCAGTGCTTTCAATACTTAGGGGAGCCCAGGAGAAAGAGGAAGGAGAGGCTTTAAGGAGACGGTAATGCGTCCAGTTTTGAACGTGCTGTTTTGTCCTGCTCATGGGGTATTCAGAGAGAGATGTCCGGGAGGTTTGGGCATAAAGGTTTGCTCCAAATAAGAGCAGAGTGGGTAATAGAAATTTGGGAAGCATTGTTCTAGATGTGTTAATCAAAGCCTTGAAATTAGATGTGAATAGTAAAGCCAAATAATGAGACCCGTTGGGGGCTCAGGATATAGTCCTTAGAATTTCTTTGCTGGCCCAGCACTCTCCTTGCCAGGCAGATCCAATCTACTCATTGTACTGTGACCGTGAAATTGTCTTTAATTTTCCCAGGCAAAACTCCCCTTCTCATCTTGTGCCCTCTCTACTAGCTCTTAGCACAACTTGCCTTGGATTCTAATTAGCTGTGGATAAGTCCGCCTTTGCCCCCTAGCCTGTAAGCTCCTGCAGAGCAAGAACTATTCTTATTCTGCTCTATGTGTGTCTCACCTAGGAGGTCATCAGTAGATGCTTGGGAAATTAACTTGAACTAATCGGCCTCTGAGTCTGTGAAACCCTTCTAGATGGCAGACATTGTATATACACTATGCCACACACATGATCATCACAACCACCTGTGAGCTGTCTATTATTATCCTCATATGCACATAAGAAAACTGAGGTTCAGAAATTGAAACAGGTCACACAGCCGATGAGGGCTGAAGGCCAAATTTGAACCCAGATGGTCAAACTCCAAAGCCCGTGCTCCTTTCCCTAGGCCCTATGAATTCAACAACACAGTATCTTCTCGGTTGCTTCTAAAGTGAGTAGAAAGTTTAGTATCATCTACATATTATCAAACATGACCAACCTAATTGAGAGGGGAAGAGTAAGAATTGCCACAATTTTGAGGAAGTTTTTTTCTTTTCGTCTATACCAAAAGGGATAAATAAGCCCATTTTTCAGAGAGTTAAACAAAGGCCCAACAGGGGACCACTGAGCTGTCGCTACAAGCACAGAGGTTGGAAAATGTGGTTTCTTTTTCCAGCTTCTCATTTGGAAAACAACAGAATTCCCAAATTCCATGCTATTCCTGTTTCCTCACCTCATGGACTTATGTATCTTTGTGTGTGTTTATGTTACTAGGTTTGCTGAAAAGCCCAGTGAACAAGACGGCCCTGATGCTGATCGCTGTGAGCTCCTGCATCCTGGCCATGGTGTGTGGCAGTCAGATGTCCTGTCCACTCACTGTGAAGGTGACTCTGCATGTGCCCGAGCACTTCATTGCAGACGGTAAGAGCTGAGCGTCGGAGATACCCCACATCTACTCGGCACCTTGCACCCCTGTGTGCTCCAATGTTCCCCATGCATGGCCCAACCTCAGAATTATATTACTAAAAAAGAGAGAGAGCATCCAAAGACCTTAAAGGAGGTCCTTATCTTTGAAAATCCTGGATTGTTTGAATGGAACTAAAGACTGCTTTTATTCCGTGGGCAAGGGTAAGGTTGGTTAATAAAGAAAGAATTCAAATGTGCAGAAGGATTGAGTTACTTCAGAGAACCCACTGTTTTCTTATCGTGCGTGTGCATCCTCTGCCTAACTAAAAATACCTCCCCGCCCCCCAAAATAGTCTTTCCTATTGAAAAACTACGACAAAGAAGATAGTCTTTCCTATTGAAAAAATACGACAAAGAAGACCGTACGAGCTTTGTTGGAACTTCCTAAGTGTCCTGGATTATACTCATATCTCATTCGCTGTAAATGTCCTTTACAAGCATGTTATATCCTACCATTTACTCCTCACCCAATTAGTTTGAATCAATGAGACGCTGTAGTTGCTATACTCATTCGCAAAGCATGGTCCAAGAAGCTGATTAAGGTGCTTGATATCTATTGCTAAAGTGCCCTCCAGAAAATTGTTCCAGTTTATATACTCCAGCAGAATGTGATGTGTTTCCCCAAATGCTTGGCATTATTATTTATTTATTTTTACAATTTACATATATTATAACTTTTCCTTTACATACATTACCAAAAATTATGTTTCTCTATAACAGAAATGTATCCATTTGGGGGAAGAATTTTTTTTTTTTTTTATTGAAGTGTAGTTGATTTACAATGTGTTCATTTCTGCTGTGCAGCAAAGTGATTTGGTTATACATATATATACATTTTTGTATTCTTTTCCATTACGGTTTATCTTAAGATATTGAATATAGTTTCCTGTGATATACGGTAGGACCTGGTTGTTTATCCATTCTATGTATAATAGCTTACAACTGCTAACCCCAACCTCCCATTCCATCCCTCCCCTCCCCCCTCCCCCTTGGCAACCACCAGTCTGTTCTCTATGTCCATGAGTCTGTTTATGTTTTGTAGATAGGTTCATTTGTGCCATATTTCAGATTCCACATATAAGTGATAACATATGATATTTGTCTTTCTCTTTCTGACTTCACTTAGTGTGATCATCTCTAGTTGCATCAGTGTTGCTACAAATGGCATTATTTCCTTCTTTTTTATGGCTGGGTAGTATTCCGTTGTATATATGTACCACATCTTCTTTTTTATTATTAGTTTTTATTAGAGTACAGTTGATTTACAAAGCTGTGTTAGTTTCAGGTGTACAACAAGGTGAATACATATATACATTATATATATATATGCACATGCTCATTTTTTTTTCAGATTCTTTTCACATATAGGTTATTACAGAATATTGAGTAGAATTCCCTGTGTTATACAGTAAGTCCTTACTAGTATTATTATTTTTAAATGTATTGAAAGTTATCATAAATATAATAAAGAAGAAATATTAAGTATGCAGCTTAATGAATTTTTACATGAGTTTACCCAGATCAAACATAAAACATTTCCAGCACCTTCAGCTTCCTTATGCCCCCTCCCAGTGAATCCCATCCCAGGGTTAACCACCCTTCTAGCACCATATTAGTACCATTATTATTATTTTTGTTTGTTTGTTTGTTTGTTTGTTTTTGTGATATGTGGGCCTCTCACTGTCGTGGCCTTGCCCGTTGCCGGACGCGCAAGCTCAGCGGCCATGGCTCATGGGCCCAGCCGCTCCACGGCATGTGGGATCCTCCCAGACCGGGGCACGAACCCGTATCCCCTGCATCGGCAGGCAGACTCTCAACCACTGCGCCACCAGGGAGGCCCCCATTATTATTTTTAAAAATCTTTTTCCCATTGGATATGTATCAGATGTTTTTGAGATCCTTTATATATGTCAGCCATATTTTAATGCAACTCGATTTTATCTCTAATTTTTTAAGTTACAGTGTTCACAACTTAGCACCAGTCCCTTCAGTATGTTCTGTGCAGAGTGGAACTTTCACCTCCTTTCTCTCCTAGACTTACACTAAAGCATCCTGCGTTTACTCCTACTTTACCATAGTGAACTAGCCCCTACTTTAATTTTTTTTAATTATATTTTTATTGAGGTATAGTTGATGTGCCATATTATATAAATTTCAGGTATACAACATATTTTGCACAATTTTTAAAGGCTATATTCCATTTATAGTTATTATAAAATACTGGCTGTATTTCCTGTGTCATACTATATATCCTTGTAGCTTATTTATTTTATGTGTAGTAGTTTGTACCTCTTAATCCCCTACCCCAGTCTTGCCCCTCCCACCTTCCCTTTCCCCTCTGGTAAACACAAGTTTGTTCTCTATATCTGTGAGTCTATTTCTCTTCTGTTATAATCACTAGCTAATTTTATATTTTAATTTTTATTTCCATTTTTCAATTGAACTGCAAGTAAGTTTAGTATTTCTCATCTTATATGCACTCAGTTGATTTTTTGACCAAAGCAGAAGACTTCTGGTTCATCCCTGTCAAATCGTATGTGCACATAAGACAGGAAAATATGGGAATATGAAATGGCAGAAGCATAGCAGAAGTAGAAGGAACAAAATTTACTGACGTAGCTAGGCACGTAGGCTCATGGAGCTTTGGGACTGGAAAAATTGCCAGAACCTGGGTGTGGCTGGAACATGGGATGGGAGAGTAAGAGTGATGAAAACCAATAGGGCAGATTGTGACCATTGTTGGAGGCATGTGAACTTACTTTTTATCACCACCAGTCACTATTCATTAATTGTAGAATGTTAGGTCTTAGGGACATCCACATTTTGGACATTTATTTTCACGCCTGTAGAAATGGAGCTCCTAAGAGGCTAAGTAACTTGGTCAGGGTCATGATTAATGGCTGAGATCAAAGACTATAGAATAATACAAACAAAATTCAAATACTTGCCCTATTACCTGCCACTTCCGTAGCCAAGTGAATTATTTACCTCTCTGAGTCTCAATCTCCGCGTCTATAAATGGGAATGATAATAATACCTATCTCATAGGATTATTGTGAAGCCTACAATTCCGTATTTATCAGATTTTTGGATAGCATGTAGGTGGGAAATAGCAAAATCAAAGGATTACCCAAGAAAAATGTAAAACTACTGTGGTGACTTCAAAGGATAGACAAAAATGTGGTAAATTAAAAGGTGCCCTTTCCCGGTAATGCTTATTCTGATCTCTGTCATAAACTTAAAGCTTTATAACTACATGTAGACTTGTCTGCTTCTGCCTCTAGACTGGGATGTCTGTGAGGCAAGAATGTCCCTGGTGACAAACATACCGCATGGCCTGTGATGGATGCTCAATAAATATGTGTTGAATGAATGAACAGGGCCTAAATTAAAGCAGAATTATGAAAAGTTCTGTGGGATTCTTCTACCAGATGTCTAAGCAGAAAGGGGAGACTGAGTGAAGGAAAACTAAGGCAGAAGATGCACAGACGTCAAAAAAATTGGAAATAACCATGGAATATACAAGATTGGAGACACAATTTAGCAAACGTGGCACACACCGTTAGGAGGACCTAACCCAAAGTGTGTCAGCCTCGAGGCATCATGGAACCCTCTTTCC